AGTACTTTTTGGTATACAATTTTTGTGACCACACTACAGTTTTGTTATTTATTTTGTGTTTTGTTTATGCAATACACTTGACACATTCACTGTTTTGATGGTAAAAGTAGATGTATTTCATAATAACTGGACAAGCAGAGATTTAACAAAGAAACACTGTGGTTAAAATGTATTAGGTTATTAAAGATCCATTGTGTAACTTTTCTGGTGGAGGGTCTATGAAATGCTTTTCAAGTTACAGGTCAGAGGCAACCCCGCTCACAGTAAGAATGCTGTCTTCCTAGGTCATTTTGAGCTATAAAACCACCTGCAATTTAATAAATGTAAGGCAGAGCTGTTTAATGTCATACTGTGGAACATTCCAGGCAGAGCAATGACATATCCATAGAAACAAGAAGGTGACTAAACCCAACAAAAAAACTTACACAGTGCATTTTTCACAGAATAATATATCAATTCTCGCATTCAACGCCATATTGTGATTATATCGTATCGCAAGCCATGTATCGAGTATCATATTAAATCATGATAGACCCTGTGATGCCCAGCCCTATTCTCCACTCCTCACAGCACTGCCGAGATTAGGTTTACCTCTGAATTAAGAATAAGACTCTATATAACTGATGTTGCATACGCAGTTCAGGGGCAGTCAAGGCACAAAGTATAAAATGCAGTGTTTTCAATCAACAGCAAAAAGTATGTATGTACTTTTATTGTCAAAATAACCAGCTAATCTACACTAATTTAAATAAAAGATATGAGTTTCGCTGTGTAATTTTAAGCAGGGTTTGGGTCTATATCAGAGCTAATATAAGACCACAAGGTAATAAAGAGAAAATTATAGTAATTAGTCAGTGTTGAAAATTAGTCTACCAGTAGTGTTTTTTATTATCATTCTGATACCAAAATCTGTAAATACCAGGTCCTCTCCTATTTATCAAAATCAAGCTGGAAATTTGACAACCTAAAATACTACATCACTGAAAGGGCAACATATTTCCTCCAAAACCAGTATTCAATTACAGTTTTATTATTTTTTTATTTCACCTGTGCGCCAAAGTCTCTAGGGGAAAGAACTGTTTATGACCTGCCAGCGCCATAGCAACAGGATTTCAGTGAGCATTTAACCACTGATATGTTAACATTTGCACATATCCTGATTCTCAAGCCAGTGCTCCCATTTCTCTAACCAGGAAAATTAGATTACTACAGCTGTTGTGTGTTTAAGTTCTATTTTCATATTTGATTATATATTTATATCACCAGCAGCCAAAGAAAAGTATTAGTGTTGTCATGATACTACAATTTCAAACTCTATTCTACTACTAAAGAATATCAATACTCAATACTAATTCTGATACAACAATGATAATTAAAAAAAACTCTTTCTTAAGACAACAGAATATGATCTTCAACATTAAATCATAGTACTTTCTTTTCTATTACCATGTGGTCTTATATCTCTGTAATCCCTGTTGTCCAGGTAGGTTCCATAGTGGTCTATGGGCGTATACTAGTCTATGTGCTCTTATATTTGTTTGGACACAACTCAAGATTATTATAAAGCTATTCAGGAAAGGTTCATTTCGGTCCTGTGAATGTAACTTTCAGTATCAATCCTTGTTCATATTGGTGTCTAGTTTCAATACTAGGTTTTAGTATTAATTAGTATCAGATTTTTCACAGTATATCCAACTATCATATAAGCACTAACCTAACTTTATATAAGCAGTTATTGTTTTATGCTTTTGTGTCTTGTTTTAATGTTTATTATTGTAATGTTTAATGCTATATTCTGTTAAGTTTAATAAAAAAAAAAAACAGTTAAAAAAAAAAAAAAAAAAAAAAAAAAAAAAAAAACTTTATATGAGTGATCCACCTGTAGTCTGGCACAGGTAGTGTTCAGGCTATGATGTTTTTGGGAGCGCCTCTTGCAGATTTGTGAACAGCAGGCGGACACCCACATACGATTAGTCACAGGAGACACAGACAGGAAGAACCAAGCAAGCGGAGCTCTTGACAGGTTAAAATGCACTGCGCTTTTGGAAAGAGAAAGGAACAATGATTGGAAAAAAAAAAACATGTGGGACAACAATAGTGGGTGAGTCAGGAAGACTGACAGCGCCACAAAGAATTCCAGCAGGAGAGAAATTAGTAGTGAAGTATATCAGTTTGACAAGACTACAAAGCTATGGTTGACATTTGTAAGCAAGGGTTAGGAATTAGTACCATTCTGGAGAAATGACACAATAAACCAAGAGCAGATTTAAACCATAAAAAGTATTCTAAATGTACAATGTTGTCAAAAAGTCATGAGCTGTTATAAATAAAAAGCAGAATGAAACACATTAGTATTTAGTGTGCTTCTGTAATCAGTCATAGAAATTATATTAATACTACCTTTTATGGCTTAGTCAAAAACTTCACAGTAGTTCAAAGAAAATGTACACATGATAAATATTGACCCCCAAAATATTGTTCCAGCTTTCATATATTGAAATTGATATGGTAATTATCGCGACAGGCCTAGTTTGCAATAGTGGGGAGATATTGGTCATTTTCTGTCCTATGATAAATAAATTCTATGACTAATTACTGGTAAATTCTGCTATTTATTTGCCATTTACTGAAAGTGTATATTTAAAAATTGGTTTACTGGAATTATCCTGCTTTGTGTCAGTGGCATAAAGTAGTTTTAATATTCTCGTTTATCGCAATATTTCTCTGTAGGATTATATCGTGCTTCAAAATGTCTAAAAATATATTGGCATTAGCACTGAGATGGAACTGAAATATGAACGGCTAAACTAATACAATAATAGCATGCATTTCAGAACGTGTTTGTGAAGATTAAATAGAGGCAACATTAGCAACAGGGTGTGCTGTTAATATTATATTCTCAAAATAACTCTATAAATAACTTACTTTTGTAGTTTGAAAATAGAAACCAGACTATTGAATAAGGCCTGTCACAATAATTATTATATATTGACTTATCTTTCAATATACGAAAGCTGGAATAATATTTTTTTGGGTCAGTGTTTATCATTTTTACATTTTATTTGCACTCCTGGGAAACTTTTGGTTATTTCTTGGCTATACAATACGACTTAGACTATAAACGTTTAAATACATACCTTCAACAACTCGTTACAGATACAAACTAAGTACTAAAGTGTATAACTCTTAGCTCATAATTTTTTACAATATTTATACACATTTAAAATTGTTTTTGTGGTTTAAATCTCCTCTTAGATTATTGTGTCACTCGCAAAATTAGTTTCAATATTATCATTTATTGTCTATATTTACTTCAGCAGTATATCACACTTCAAAATTTGTTATCGTGGCAGGCCTACTGTTGATATGTGCTACAAAGAGAAAATCATTTCCAAGAAGAAAGCATCTCAAACTTGTTAAATTAACTTTAAAAATGATCACGATTTGCATAAAAATTCATCCTTATGCTCTTGCCATCTGCAGCACCAGAAAGCAGCAGCCTGGGCAGAATTGGATGCCTCTGCTTTTCATTCATGAGCAGTTCAACAGGAGCAGAGAGAGAGTGGGAGAGAGAGCGCTTTATCTCCTGTCTCTTTACAGTCATTACGACAACAACTTCTGACTGCTCCCCTAATTAATTCTCCACTGTGCAGCGATTTGCCTTTATTGGCTGTTTACATGGCGCACATGCATATAAGTATCTATTAATCGCCCGCGTACTGATTATTGAACGGGCGCATCAATCGTCAGCCTGTCATCGTAGTCTGTTAAACTCCTCTAAAGGGAAGCTATGATTTCAATGTCATATTTCATAAAGGTGTGCATATATCTATAGTCATATTTTAGTCATGAGCTGGCTTTCAGTATGCAGGGCTGCTGTGCTGGGGGTGGATCCAAGAGAAGTTTTACATTTTGCTGATTAGAACAAGTTGTGCTTTCGTACAAAATTTGAGTTAATATTTCACAACCTTTCCCTTGATCCCTTGACAGCTTTTTATTTCTTCTCTTGTCTCCTTGCAAAAATAGTTTGTTCATCTTTCTAGTTTGATGTTCTAAATTTAAAAGAGAGACATATTTACAGCTTTGTAGTAGATTCTAACTTCATTCCGCAATCAGATAGAAAATGTTTGCTTGTCACGACACAAAAGAGAAAATCTGAACTCAACACAATAGAGATAAATACAGGCAGACTTTCTTTACAAATGTTCAACAACAACTTATGTTCAAGTATTCAAATATAATACCACATGAAAATAAAGCAGAGCTGAGAAAAACATAGCCACAGAAATAATATATGATTTAACAGGCTGTTTACAAGAGGCATTCACACCCATTCAGCACTACAACAGACTGCCTATTTTCAAGCACAGTGCCGGCACCGCCACTTAAATTACCCATCTTGTAAAATACCTTTCCTGTCTTCTCCTAAATTCCTACTCCCCCCATGCAGTCTTTCTCTCTCCTCTCTCCCCATCTGAGTACAGCTCCACCAAACCACTATCTTATCATGCTCAAGGTTTCACAGAAGCCTGGCTACTGCCCAAAGTCTTGAAACAGGGGGCACAACTTGGCAGACAACGACTGCGGGTAGTGTTTTTCCAAGCCTTTGTACAGGGAATGATTAAAATGGAGCAAGGAGTGCATTTAATCCACTGGAGGAGGGGACAGATATCTCTGAAGGTTTAGTCATCCACATTGAATTATACAGATCAGCGCACCAAAATAAACAGGAAAAGCAAGATTTGAGATTACATGGGGAATGCAGACTTGTGGATAGGTATGCTAGACACAGACAAACAAAAGGACAATACAGATTTTTCCAAAAGAGGATTAAGGAATGTTAAAACAGCCAACCACTTCTTAGAACACCATCAACCCACAGGCAATGATATAAAACTGGATCAATCCTTCTAAATACGCAAAACATCCCATTAAAAATTCATCTGAAGCACACTTTCTACTTTCTGAAAATCTATTGACAAAATGTAATGAGCACTTACCAGCCACGGAAGTCAGGAGGATAGTCAGACAGATCCCAAATTTAGCGAGAGACTTGGAGGTGATGCGGCCCATTGCAGAGACTGTCTCCACCGACATTAGCCTCGAAGTTCGTGATAAAAGTCCTGATTCACTTCTGATCCAAAAAATGTAGCAGCAAGTATGAGATTTTCGCCACTTTTTCCTCACGTCAGCTCCACAACTTGAACAGGTCTTGCGTACATGAAACTACTCATCGAGGAAAAGAGGAGAAACAGTGCTTTTTAATTAGGCTTGGGTGTTGAGGTATTTTTGTCTAAGCGCAGTAGAAAGTTGGGCTAGTTCTAGTAGTGATCCAGACATTGAAAGTGCGGATACATGACGCGGTTAACTCGGCTGGCGTATGTGCCATCTACAACTAGCCCGCAAACACCGACCATTTCTGCTAGCCGACATGCTAACTGCCCTCACGACTGTCTGGCACTAGAAAACTTAGGCAAACAAGAGAAAATGCCATAAATTAATGCTTCTAAATGCGCTAACCTAAATTGACAACATCGCGACGTGTTTACCGGTAGAATATGCCGATCTGCAAAAAAACAAAACAAAAAAATCGCAAATAATAGTTGACTTGGTTAGACGGCTAGTTTACAACCTGACTGCTATCGAAGCTAATCTGTGTTAGCATAATAGCTAGCCAGTTAGTTCCCCGAGTCCCGAGTCATTTCTTCACGATCTTTTGCACAGGGAAAAATACAAGTCAGGAGGCGCCCGCAGCGAGCCTTTCAGGTCCGAGACGAAGACTATTAGTCCGGTGTGACTTGCTGGGTATCTCGGGGGGTGATCTTCCCCGGGGCGGTCGGCTGCGCTTCACATTGACGGCGGCTCGGAGCTCCGCTGGGCAGACAGACAGACAGGCTGGGCGTTTGCAGGCTTGTCTGGACCGCTCGTCTCCGGTATCAGGTTGCTGTGGGTTGGTGTTGGGGGTGGAGGACCGTGCAGCTCAGTGCGAGAGTGCCACAGCGCCGCCACGCCGCAGACTGGGGGTATAACAACATCAACACAAGTTTATTTACCGTGGTAAACTCATAAATTGTTTTTATAATCCACGGTTGAACTTGGGGACATGTATAGGCTAAATAAACTTTTTGCATAAATACTCACACGTATTAAATTAGACTTATACAAACTTTGTTGATCCACAAGGGAAATTATTTAGACACAGTAGCTCACTCATCACAATATAATAACAAAGAGTAAAAAAATATATAAATGGTAATAATACATTCTAAATAAGTAGCAAAAAGATAGCAAGAAACAGGTGTCAAATAAGGCATAATTATTTAAATGTATATGTACACGGCAAAAAATAAAATAGAAAAATAAGTAATAAAATATAAAATCTCACCTATATGCAAGAGCTCATAGGAAGGCAGTGCAAAAAATATATGTTGATTGACAGGACATAGGGTAGGCACGCATTTTTTTTTTTTTTTTTTTTTTTTTAGATTTACCAAAATATGTGGCTATAAATAAATTTTTAATGAGTTGCAGTGCTGTCTGTTTTCATTGCTTATATCCTTATGATGATAATCCATTTACATTATACTTTTGGGCCAAAATATACATAAACATGCTGCATAAAACTATTAATACTCTTATGTTCGCAATTTTAGTACAATGTTTACACACAAAAACATACTGGCTATAAATATGTTTTAATTGACTGACTGTTCTCATAAGTAATATTGACAGGCAATACTTCCATGGTTGAACTTGAGGCAAAATAGACAAATACATACTGCATTAAAATACGTTACGTCAGATATGTTAGATAATTACTATATGTTCCCAGTTAATTAAAACGTTCCATATACTTATTATTTGATTAAGCCTGTCCTAAATGATGATGGTAATGATGGCAATTTAATGCAATAATTATTTACTGAACTTGAACGTGTCTCTTCACTGCCTCTGTGTGGCTGAACAACTCTATTTCAAGTGATGCATGTTTAGGAAAGCACCACCAGAGGGCAGTGTAAGCTTGTGTGTAGTCCTAGAAATACATTACTTTGTGAACATACTTTTAAACACTAACTTAAAAAAAAAAAAAAAAAATCACTTAATGACTGGTTTAAGTACACTAGATTAGCACCTAGATTGCGTTTTGAGCCATTTGAGGAAAATTGCCACTGAACCCAATTAGACCTGCAGAAATTACTTTTACATAACATACGACAATGATTATCCGCAACTAGCCCGGGCTGCAGCTTCCAAAATATGGGTGGACCGTAGACTATTTTGCACCATGTACCAGAGCGAGCCAAGGGGGCGTTGCAGACCGTGAGCGTCGACTCAGGACCTCCGCTCCTCCGCTGTCAGGACTGAGGACAGAAAGAGCAGAGAGCGCGAGAGGAGGGATGTCCTTTTACCCCCAAGCTGGACCCGATCACCTTTGGAAACAACTCTCGAGAAATGACGAAGCTCAAATAAAGTTAGCCTGAGGGTCATGAGTGGATAAAAATAGCAGTGGATCTGATACTTTCGCAGGTTTCGAACGGCTCAGCGTGTGCGCCCCTCCTCGGTGCTTTTGGTGTGATGAATGGTGCGCTACGCCATGGCTTCTGCTCCACCTGAGGCGAGGAAGTTCACCCGGGGGCTCAACAAACCTGGGACCGCCGCCGAGCTGAGACAAAGTGTGTCGGAAGCTGTCAGAACATCAGTGTTGGTGGTAAGAATAAAACATAGATTGAAATAGGCTACTGTGTCAGTTAGGCCTATAGTTTTACCTTCTTTCTAATACTAGTTCGACCATGCTGCAGATTTTGGGAGCATAGGGGTCAAGAGAGGTCAAAGTTCAAGGCTAAAGAGGCCTAGTACAATAATATACCTGTAGTAGTTATGCCATTTATTTATTATAGCACTATTGTAACTATACCTTTACAACTCAAATTGCTTCCTTTATTGTTGGATTCTGCATATAGGCACAGGGCTATCCATTGCTACAACTTTCTCAAAGGAGGTTGCTGGGTAACTGTAACATAAACCACCATCACTAAAGAGACAGAATGACAACACACACAGTTTTTTGTGCATCCTGTTATGTGATCCCACCAGTCCACCTTGAAACTGAATAGGTGACATAGAAAACAGATGAGTAGCCAGTGAGGGACAAAGATAATTGATTATTGTGGTATTAATTTCTGTATTTGTAAATGTATTGTTATTATACCCCCATTGATTGACTGGGTTCTTGAGTTGCTTTGTGGTTTTCAAACTATGGATACTATGGATTTCAGTTGTACCCCATTTGTGATAGCAATAGTTTTTAGACCTCTTCATCTTGGTTCAATAATTGCATCCATCTCTGCTAGCCACTTGAAAAGCCTTTATGTAAAAATTTTGAGAAATAGCCTAGTATTTAGTCTGCTTTTGTCTTTAGAGGCCAAACCCAGACTAACATTGTGTCTTCTTGTTGCATAATGGTGATCAATACGCCATTCGTTTGCCACTAATGGCTTTTGCTGTCAGTTACAGCTGCTGTCTTGCTGCACAGTCCCGATGCGCTCCCTGATCTGGTTATCATCAACTGAATTAGGACCGGCTATAGTCATAATTACTTGACAACGAAGGGGCTGTGTTTATGTTGCTATAAACATCAAGTAGTCTATTTTTGTATGAGGTAATTAAGTTGAAAATTTTTGTCTATTCTAGGCTTCACAGATAAGCACTTTTGTCTCTATAGAAAGGCTTGTCACGGTAATTACAATTTCGATATATGATTACTGGAACAATATATTTGTAGATCAATATTTATCGTGTGTATAACTTCTATGTAATAATGGGTCGATTTTTTGTTATTTTGGTTATAATACGATACAATTTGAGCTGTAGAGGGTTGAATAAGTAACTCTTCTGGCTAATTATTGTTTCTGTTTGCTATTTTTTTGTTGCAGTTCAAGCCTTGAAATGATACTGTATATGTTAAAATTAACTTGGATTATCTTGCTTTATTATTATTGTAGTTTTAATACTATGGTTTATCGTCATATTTCTCTATAGCACTATATCATGCTTCAAATTTTGTTATCATGCCTTGACTTCCCAGCTTTTTTCCCATGTGAGCTTCAACAGATTTTTTCAAATGGGGTTAAGCCAGAAGCGCATCCGGCAGGTGACTTCTACAACAAATTCATTTCATGCAGTATTAGCAGAAAAGTGAACTCAAAGCAATTAACTTTAAACCCTGCTACGGATCACAAGGTAGACATCTGTGAGCCATTATTTCTGTCGAGAGAAAAAAATTCACGTCTACCATACATTCTATTCTTGTCTGGAAATGTCACAGCTGTTTCAAGTGCCCATTTGCTTTGACATGGATACTGACACGCTGGTATGGTCAAAGCAAATATATCTACAATGGAAACACACAAAATTCCTAGACAAAATAGTCCAGCGCTGCTTTGAAGACCTAAATTTTCCAGTTCAGTCGAAACTCAATCCATTATTTAGCCATAATCGTCATTACAATTATGTCAATTAGCTTGGAGCAGGCTATTAATTCAGTCGTAGGCCACAGTGCATGGAGTTGCATAATGGCAGTCAGATCGGATCTCCACACTATGTTTAATAATGTATGAGATGATGGTAGGTGTCCTGGCTATTTTTAAATGCGCCCTCTTTCTCCTCTGTGACACACCGTGCGCCGGGAGACTATCAATTATGAATATTTAAGCGTATGTGGATTTAAAGTGTCTAAGGTTAAGTTATTGTAAGAGATATTTTGCTAGACTTTAGTAAACAAAGTGGGGGCGCTGTAGTTGTGGTAATGACTCCCAACTGTGGGAAAATGCTGGCTAAGATGTTTTCTATAATCAGCTTCTACTTTGCATGGGTACCTACTAACTTGGCCTCTTACCTAATACCTTGAAATTTGTACATTATTTTAGTTTTTTTTTGGACTTTTAGCAGCTTAAAGTATATAAATTACAACAAGAACCTTTCGTCTACTGATGCACTGAGGTGTGAAGCAATTCAAATGAGGCTAAAACAATAAGTGCTGACTTTAAAGTTGCACTAAGTGAAGGCAAATTGAACATATAAATAAATGGATGAGAAACACATATGAGCACTTACTGGATTTCCATTTGATGATGTCACAAGGGAGAACAAAGGGTTTTGAGTTTGAGTGAAGATAGTGACAGTCATATGCAGGATTAGTTAAATATACTGAACTAAAAGGCAAAACTTTGGTATGTTTTTGAGAACAAACCTCATTCACTGTAGAGTGTACTATTACTACTACTACTACCTTCTATTTTAGTCCAGTCCACATAGGAGTAGACTAGTCTCTGGAGGATTTGGTTGTAGCGGTGCATAAAAGCAGATAATCTTCAGCTTTGTACTCCCTCTGACCCATATGTGTGTCGTGATACAGGACTGCGGAGGGGACCCAGCTCCGGCTTTGTTGTCCGCTGACAGAAAACCCTGGGATTTTTTTCAACCACACCATCACCACCTCTTTATTTAGGCTACTCCATTCTACACAGGCATAAACACTGAAAACCACACTTTTGGATACACCAGTGCTAGCATATCTCGGCCTGTCTTCTTTCCCAGACTTCATTTCTTCTGTAGGACTGGCTGTAAGACCTAACTGATCAACTAAAAAATTCCTGCTACATGACATAGGTTTGACAAGTTTCCACAGATTTTTGCAACCACCGCTGTCATTGCTTCTCTTACCCTGCAGGCCCTAGTATGAATGTTTGTGTATGCAGTCCGTGTACCACTTTTTTGATTGGATAGTTATTTCTTTTTCTGCACCGTAGCTCGCGGTGTTGATTTATGCAAGCATGTAATAGGGATTTCAGCTTGTTGCAACATCTGTACTGTGGCCGTCCAAGTTGTTTACAGTGGGTGCCTGGAGTACATTACATTATAAGTTCAACAAATCATGAAATTGTGTTACGTACAAACAGGGCATTTTGCATGGGAACTTGGCTGCCTAATCAGTTAAAACAGCCTGACAGCCCTTTAGTTATGAAAGTGTCTGCATTCGTGATTAACAATGCTGTCCTATTTTCAATCAAGGCCCATCTGCAAAAATCGAGCAGCCACCATGAAAATTTCCTTTGCCCCAATTGCTGCTGAAATTGCACATCCAGCTCTCCGTGGTAAAAATAGCCGTTACGTTTTTGTGTGGAAAAAATGCACCAATCTTCTCCTGGCTACCTTAAAGTTCTTCCATTTCAAAGTTCTGGCTTAGGATACGTATAATTACAACAACTATAGGTTTGCAGTGGAGATGTATCTGCATAAGCGCACAAAGGATTCTGTTTTTGTAGTATTACCTGCAGGCCTTTTTATATGAATATAAATAACCTTCAATGGTGCAACCCAAATTTGAAGACCTTCTTTGCTCTTACTTGTTTAAACTAGTGACAAATTGCGCTGCACATTGACTCTACATTTGAAGTTTTTCCATCCAGGTTTAAGTGCACCCATGAAAGCTAGCTGAACTTCATTCCTTCATTCTCCACTACATTCTGTGTCTTGCAAGGTTACTGTATACTGAAACTGTGCTACTTAAAGTCTATTAGAAAGAATGAGGTAAGATATCTCTGCAAAAAAGTGTATTGTTTAATCCTTTTTGGACTTTTTGCAGCTTTAAAGGTGCATTGTGTAATGTTTCTGGCATGTTTCACAGTGTGGTATTAAACCTTTCGAACCAGACCAAGTTACAGGTCAGATCAGTTTAAAGGCAATCCGCTCACAGTCAGAATGCATGTGTTTTCAAGGTATTTTTTAGCAATAAAACCACCTGTATTTGAATAAATGTAAGGTAGAGCAGTTTAATGTCACACTCTGGAACATTCAAGGCAGAGCAATGACATATCCATAGAAATAAGCAGGTGGTGGACCCTTCACCCGAAATTTACACAATCCACCTTTAGGCATATAAATGACAATAGGAACCGTTCCTCTGCTGGTGCACTGAAGAGCGAAGCAATTTAAATGAGGCTAAAATAATAACTGCCTACTTTAAACTTGTATCTTAGTAAAGGTAATTTGAACATTTAAATGATCAGAGTAGAAAACCATATGAGCATTTACTGTATTACCATCCGATGATGTTACAGAGGGGGGCAGATGGTTTTGAGTTTTGAGGAGGATGACAGTCATATGCAGGATTAATTAAATGTACTGAAATAAAAGACAAAACTGGTAAACTATTTGAACGAATGAGGTAAGATTTGTCTGCAGTTTTTCCAGTGAGTCACCAGGTCCCAGTGTTGTTGCAGTGGCAGATGTGGCCTGTTGGGGGCAGCCATGACTCACTCCCTTGCTTTGCTATTCTCTGATGAACTGCTAGTCCATTCAGTTTTCCAATTATACTTACGGCATTGCCATTATTAGTCATTATACTTGAAGCAGGAGGGTGCTCTTTATGCCAAATGACTCAGCCTGGATATTTTTGTTGGACTGCTTTTTTCATTTATTAGTCACACCACATGCAATATTGATGTAATTTAAGTTTATCTGGTTTGACTGACTCTTCAATTGAAGCCTATTATTTATTAAAGGGCCTAAATTGAGCTGTTTTCTCATCTATTTTATTATGTTTTTTCTTCATTACAAACATACCTGGAGTTGTGTTTTGTTTCATTTACACATGCTTAACACAGAAACCCTTTAGACTGAGTTCTTCTCCTAAACAGAAAACATTCT